GAGTTTTTTCTCGGTTAAGGAGATTTATATGCAGTAGAATCAGATATAAACTTATTCTGCTGTTATCTTGTAGTTAATATATGTAACTAATTAGATTTAATAATTTAGTTAAGAGTATAATCAACAATCAATATAATTAATTGATAGTATCAATTTATTCGGTTAAAAAAAATTAAAATCAATTTAACTGACCAAATTCCTATAATTAAAGTAAAAAATCTGAGTTCCAAATCAGTTTTTCTTTCTCTCACCTTATATAATTAAAATTTATACATTAACAACAATATGACAAAGAATATATTTTTTAATTTTTTTAATTTTATTATATACATTAATTTAATATATATATACATATATAAACGTATATGTTACCATTGAAAATGTATAGGTGGTATTTCTTTGAATATATAATTTTTTTATCTATTTTCTTGTAAGGAAAGAAACAGAAAATATTATTTGAGGTGCTCATAAGGGCAAATTACACTTCTCTCTTTCCTCTGCAAATAACAGAGCTGCATGACAATCAAAGCCACGTTTCACTTCTTGTAAGTCATCTATTTCATCTTTCTCTCCATACTTTTTTTTTTTTTTTAATTTAAAATTTTATCAATAATAATAGTATAATACTCTTTCTCTCTTTATCACATTTTGCTGGTTTGTGGTTCATCTGCTAGAATTTTCAACAGGTTTCTTCGCGAAAAGCTATTTTGGACCATGAATCAACAACAGCAAATTTTGATCCGCCAAAACTAAAATAGGTGGCTGTCAAGCTAGTCAGTAAAAATGTAGCAGTTGAAGCCTCTGAACCAGAGAGTAAAAAAGCTTCCAACTCAGTTGTAAGGAAAAAGTCTCAGCAAAAGGCATGGAATTTTTACTTATTTTTAGATTTTCTCTTAGGCCTATATTATTTTGCTACTTGCTGGCTTTTGTTCAAGATAGTTTGATCATTTTTTGGGAGGCTGAAGGGGGAGAACTTCAGAACCAGAGAGTGTAGATTCTGATTATTTTGCAGGAAAACCTATCATGACAAAGGTTATGGTCTTAGGAGACAAAACCAGCTAGTCAGCGTGTAGATTTTTGACTAATTTTATTTTTTTCTTAACCACTCTGTTTGTATATGCAGAGAAAAAAATATGTGTATCAGATAGTGATTCCAGTATTATCAACTGAATGTTTCTGGTCGTGCATGCTGGGTCCATGCATATAACATTTAGAGTCCGATGTGTGAAATCTTTTAATTGATAATGTCAAAATTCATCTTGTCCATTCATTTTTTTGTAAATTTTTTAGCTGACTATTCCAGTTTTCCCTAATTGTTTCAGCAATCATAGGTGAATTCCTCACTATGATTTATTAAAAATTATATTCAAAAAAATTGAAAATATTAAGACAATTAAGCATGAAAAATAAAAATTTGTGAACTCTGCTTGTATCTCTGTCTTTATCTAAGGCAAGATATTGAATTTTTTTTAAAAAAAAGGTAGTGGAAAAAATAGAATATAACAGTCCAATTCATAATTTGATTGTAAACAAGTGAAAATGAATCCAGATATGATATGATAATTAAATAGAACGAAATGAAATTAAATTGTTATTACATCAGCAATTACAAATTATTTAATTTGTTAGAGTGTCATGAGATAGTAAATTAAAACTAAATTTTAGTTTGAACTTTTAGAAAATCTAAGCACTCTCTTCTTTCAAAATATCCAGAACCTTGTAGAGAAGAGAGAAATGGAGAAGAGAAGCATAATAGAAATATATTAGCCAGAAGGAGAAGAAGATTCATAAGTGCAGAAATGGGTATCTTCATTCTCTTCTCCATTCTATTTTTTCTTTCAGTTTCTAGAGAGAAAACCTATAAATGAGTTTCTTCACTCTCATCGTTTATGTTTCTTCTTTCAGTTTCTATTGAGTTAAAGAGAGAGAACCTATAATGGATTCTCTCTTCATTCTCTTATGTTTCTTCTTTTAGTTTATTGGTAGGGAAATATAGAAAATCTAGAAATGAGTTATAAGACTCGCAGAAAAGGAACCTTTTGATTCTCTTCTCGACTCTATTTTTTTTTTTTACAATATTATTGAAACCTGCAAGCATAAAAAAATAGAGATATGTTAGTGTTCAAAAATTACTATTTTCCCACAAGCAACCACATAATATCTTCGTATGCTTAGGTTATGACTATTATCTTTTTCAGAACGATTTTTTTCTTGCATTTGTATTTCCTGATTCTTATAAAGAAAAATTATGTGTTTCTCTTTTTGCTTTATAAGTTTTTTTTAGATTAAAATAACAATATTTTTTAATTATTCATAACCTAAAGAAATTTTTTTTTTTTTATTTTACTATTTCTAGTCAATGAAGGGTTCATCGGAGTACCTATGCAAAATTATTTTGAATTTTTAAACAATCTCACCCTAGAGAGATTTTTTTGCTCAATGTTGTTCCATGTTTTTTAGTTGGTAGTAACTTTTGGAGTTTCAACCATATGTGTTTCCTCACTCTAACACCCAACTGACCTTAATGCACTTTTTTTCCTTGAATCTTTTTTATTATTCTGAAATATATTTTATTCTTATATTTTTGGATAAGAATAAAATATAGTTATTTCATGTTATTTTTATCTTCTTCTTTACATGCTATAAATTTCAACTACTTTTTAAGGAAATAAAATATCAGCAGTAGGATAGCAGAGAGGAGGAAGAGTGGAAGTCATAATAATTGTAATTGGTAATGCTCAGCTTTTTACAAATAGTACATTCGTATGTATAGATTGTATATACTTACAGCGGTCGGTAGTTTTCTTGAAGAGAGAAGAGAAGACAAAGAGAAGCAAATAAAATATATTTTTTTAGAAAAAAAGTGGTCACCATCAAGCAGTGAATGTATCTTGCTTTTACTCTCTCTCTATATATATTTAATGCATCTGACAATTTCTCATGCACTAGGAAAAATCGACGCATAAAAAAAAAAAAGAAAAAAAAGGACGAAAAGGCTCTCCTCTGTTGCCCCCAAAATTGAAATCTCTGATAATTTGAAATGCCATCTTCTCTTTATTTTTTCTCAAAAATCGTGCCACTTTCCGCTTAGACTTTGGCTACATTTATAGCTGAAATCATTGCAAACCTGAACACAACATCTTCTTTTCTTCACGCTGCTCTTCATCTCGAACACGCCATCTTTCTGCCTTCCGCCTCACCCTAGAAAGATGAAGAAAATCGATCTCCTCCATCATTTCATCTTTCTGCCTTCCGCCTCACCCTAGAGATGTGAAGAAAATCTATCTCCTCCATCATTTCATCTTTCTGCCTTCCGCCTCACCCTAGAGATGTGAAGAAAATCTATCTCCTCCATCGTTTCACTTTCTCCTCTTACCGTTTCCCTCCAAGCCCCAACATGAAATCTGATAATTTGAAACACCAAAAAGAATAACCCCCACCGCCCCTTGGCCATTTTTCTTCAATGATCTTGACAATCTAAACTTCCACTATTAAGACCTTCATTTTCTACACCCGACGATGCCAATCGCTTTTCTCAACATCCTTCGCTCTTCTCCGCTTGGTTCCCCTCAAAACTTCAGTTCAAAGGTTTTTACATTTTCTTCATCTTCTCGTTATCTCTCAATGGCTTGTTCTGTTGTTTCTTATATTTATAAACTTATTATTATTTATGTGTCGTTTGGTTGCCAAAGGGATTTGATGGGTCAATTTGAACTGGAGAAGATGGGGAACGGTGATGCGGTTCTGGAAACAAGGTTACGCGTACCTTGCCTGCGACAGTTACGCTCGAGAGCAGGCCTGATAACATCAAGGAAACTTGGGGGGAGCTCAATCCTCCATTTTCTCATGAGATATCACTGTTGATTTTTTTTTTTGTTCTTGCAAAATATCTCCTTTTAGGTATGTGGGTATGTGATCATAATTTTAATTCGTTTCAAACCGGCAAGAAGTGATTCATTTTATTTTGCAGTGAAAAGCAGGCTTTAGTTTTCCATAAATGTGAAATGAGTAGCTAAAAATATTTTTTTTTTTGATGAAAAAATTTTAAAATTCGATGCAGGAGAGAAATAGTAGTTTTAATGAGGATACTACTAATTTTATATTAATAAATTAATAAGTGAAATTTTAAAATAAAATATAATATTAACTTATTTTTTGTACTTTTATATTTATGATAAATTGTTAAAACAATATTTATTTAGATTTAAATAATTATAATAATTTAAATTTTGTTAATATTTATTTATTTTTAACATTTTATCATTTTATTATTAATTTTATAAAATATTAATTAAATATATTAGAATAGTGCATAGTAAAAATATTTGTATAGTAAGTTTTGGTAAATAATTTACCTTCAAATAAGTCCTTCGCTCCCTTTCATAAAACAGAATGTGTCCGTGTATGCCCTAAAAGAACATAATTAGGATAATCATGTAACACTAAGAAACAAACAACCATGTGTTGGGGGTGCAGACGTGGAGAAACATATTGTAATACAAATATAAATTCTTATTTTTTATTTCAAAAGTTTTTTAAATTTGATTTATAAAACTATATTTTTTATTAATTCATAGACTGTTGTATTTATCATTGATATATAAAATTTTTAATTTTTTAGTAAGTTAATAATGAAAACGTTGAGTAAAGTGTGGAATGCTCAGATGGATAGTGCAAGCAATTATTTCCTTAAGATTCTTAGAAAAACTAGGCATCACTTTCACAATTCATTTTCTTGAATGTCTTTTATCACTAGGAACCCAGGTAATCGAAGAAACTTTGTAAGGTTGACGCCATGATTAATTTTTTATATTTTACACTTTATATGATGATAATAGCAGAAGTTATAAATGCTTGATTTTTTTTGGATTTCGTTATCCCATAGGCATTCAATCCCCAGTTAGCTAAAAATAATTCGCATGTATTTCATAAACTTACAAGCTTACTCCTTTGAAGCTGTTATAAGGAAATTCAAGTTATCTGTCTATGTTGACTATCAACAGGATGATGACAGTGAAATCAGTGGCTCTCGCCTGGTGATCTTGCTGATATCAATGCTCTTTAGTCCTCACTTTATAGTTGAAGAAATGCATTCGTCTTGATTTCACGGTAACATATGTGTTTTGTCATTTATTGTTCTTGATTTGATGTGTATCTAATTGGTGTTTTTCTCCCCAATATTTTTGTGTGGCTCTATGATAAAGGTCATCACCCATCTGCAAACTTGTATTACATGTTCAATGAGCGCCCATTTGGTTTTCATCGAGCATCGCAGTTTCAAGTCTCTGCCTTTTGTGAGTCTTCATAATCCTTTAATTTCCAGATTTTGAATATTACAGAAAATATTGTATTTATTTCTTGTTTTATGATTTTTACATCATATTCTAGAGCTATACTTCACATGCTTAAATTTGTTAAGACCTTCTGGAAATCTTACAAGATTCGAGAATGTGGAGGTAGATAAATATAATGAAAAGACTTGATAATTGATATAAGTTGAAAGAACTGAATAAACTAAGAAGTTTAGAACCAAGAATTCTAGTAGATAAAGAATTAATTCAAATAGAAAGAAACAAAAATGTGTATAAATTATCTCGTCATAGAAAATTCAAGAAATCTAGAAAAGAGAAATTTAATTTTTTAGGGTTTAGGATTGAGGATTACCATATGAATATTAGGTATTTTGTTCCCAATAGAGTTTGTTTTCTTTTCTTTTATGTTTCAACAAATAGAAATAATTTATCTGTTATTCTCATCGTTTTTGTAAATTTTTTTACTATGTATATTAGTCATAATGGAATAAAATTATTTTATTTTTATATTATGTAACGCAGAATATTTTCGTTTTGTTAGAATAAATGAATAAAATAAATAAAATAATAAGCCTTTTATCATTTGAAAAAAGCAAATAGGTACCATCTTGACATTAATAATGACTATCCCTTAAACGGCCTCATGCATCTTTTTAAGCCTATATTTCATTCTCCAAATCTTCTTGGAACTAAGCTGTTAATTTTGCCAGTTCGGTGTTTAGAATCATTCATTAAATTGTTTGAGTGCTGTTTTCCACTTTGACTAGAAAACGTTCTTCTGTGCTGTATACTTATCATAGAAGCATTGGATTTTTGCTCTGGTGTGGTCAATAACACTTGACTTCTTTAATAGGATTCAAAAAAAATTTTGTTAAGAAAGCTTCCCCTGAAAATGTAAGAAAGAATTGAGATAAACCGAGAAATGATTAAATAAGAAATAATCCTCCATCTTCTTCTCATGGGATTAGAATATTTCAGGTGCTCCTCATTTATGCATATAAAGTTGACTGTTGATATTTTTTTTTTTTCTCTCGGGCAAAATATCTCTTTTTGGCTGTGCGGGTATGTGATCATAGTTTTAATTTATCTCGTATTTTTTATTTTTATTTTGAAGTCAAGTAAATTTAATTTATAAAACTTAGTAAACCTATTTTTAGGAGGAGCAAAGTGTGGAAGACAATATAAGATAATTTCTAGAGCATATGCAAACAATTATTCACTTCATTTTCTTGATTATCTTTTATTATTAAGTACCATCAGACTGGTTTTCATATTTTACACTTGATATAAATATAATAGTAGAAGTTGCTAATATGTGCTTGAAGAATGCATCTGTCTTGGTTTGATAGTAAAATGTGGTTTTAATTTTTATTGTTCTCAATTTTGGTATCTATATGTAATTGATCTTTTTTTCCAATATTGTTATGTGGCTCCAGGATAAAGGTCATCTCCTCTATTGTATTCATCCTCATGCAACCTCTATTACATGCTTTTATGAGGATTACATCATCGGGTAGTAATTTTAAATCTTCTGCACCATGTAAGTGCAGTTTTTAATGTTAATGAAAGTATTGCATTTATTTTTTTTTCAATATTTTTTGCATCATATTTTAAAACTATATTAGGGGAATGTGGATGTCTTGTCATGTGTCAATAAATAAAATAGAAAGAACAAAATATAAAAAATAAAATTTAAGAAACAAGAAAATAAATAAAATAAAAAGAACAAAAAATATTAAGGAATAAAAAAATAACATATTGTCCTATCAAATAAATAGTAAAAATTAAATAATTTTAAATAATATCTAATAATATTTTCAAAGTGATAAAAAATCTAGACTGCATGTTCTCATTGATCTGTCTTTTAATTTGTGCATATGTATCCAAGCAGTTAGAAGATCTAGAGCACGAATATGAGAAGAAATGCGGAATACTAGTACCATCTGTAGAATTTGCAGAAAAATCTGTCATGACAAAAGTTCTGGTTTTCGGGGGGAAAAGCCAGCTAGTCAGCGTGTAGATTTTAATTATTTTATTTTATTTTTATCCACTATGTTTGTATATGTGGAGAAGAATCTGTGTATCCGATGGTGATTTCAGTATTATCAACTGAACGATTTTAGCAGTGCGCATGCTGCGTCAATGCATATAACATTTGTGAAATCTTTTAATTGATAATGGAGAGATCCATCTGGTCCGTCCTTTTTTTGTAAATTTTTCTTTTTGTTGAATGCCCAAGTATTCCCTAATTATTTTATCAAGACATTTCCATAATTTTACACATTCGCAAGAAAATTAATTTGTTGGAAGTTTAAACAACTTCAACTGCTTTTGAAATAAAGAAAATATAGGCGGTAGGATAGTAATAATAATGGTACTTTTGACAGTGCATTTGTATTGTATAGACTAACAGAGAAGGAAAGAAAATAATTATTTTTTCCTAGAAAAAGAAATGAAATCACCATCAAGCATTTAATGGTTTATAGAAAAGAAGTGACGTCACCGTCAACCAGTAAATTAGTATATATATATATATATGTATATATAGAGACCTGCACAAGCAAGCTGTGAAATGCTCAGTCTCTGTTTTCGTAATACCTTAATAGGACAGACCACCTTTTTTTTTTTCTCGTATCTATCACTGTAGTAAACCTTTCTATTACTCACTCTCCCTATATTTTCAATGCATCTGACAATTTTTCCGGCACCTGGGGAAAGAGGAAGAGCTGACACATAAAAGAAATAGAAAAAAATGATGAAAAGACTCTCCTCATATCCGTTGCCCTCCAAAATTGAAATCTGAAAACTTAAGACGCCATCTTCTCACTTCAGCTACGTTTATAGCTGAAATCACTGGCAAACTCGAACACACCATCTTTTCTTCTTCAAGCAGCTCTTCATCTTGAACACACCATCTTCTGCCTCCCGCCTCATCTGCTCATTGCTACGTTATAAAGATGAAGAAAATCTAACCCCCTTCCGTCATTCACTTTCTCTTCTCTTATCCTTGAAATCTGAAAACTTAAGACGCCATCTTCTCTTTATTTTTTCTCAAAAATCTTGCCACTTTCCACTTTCCACTTGACTTCGGCTACGTTTATAGCTGAAATCACTGGCAAACTCGAACACACCATCTTTTTTTCTTCAAGCAGCTCTTCATCTTGAACACACCATCTTCTGCCTCCCGCCTCATCTGCTCATTGCTACGTTATAAATCTGATAGAAAATCTAACCCCCTTCCGTCATTCACTTTCTCTTCTCTTATCCTTGAAATCTGAAAACTTAAGACGCCATCTTCTCTTTATTTTTTCTCAAAAATCTTGCCACTTTCCACTTTCCACTTGACTTCGGCTACGTTTATACCTGAAATCACTAGCAAACTCGAACACACCATCTTTTTTTCTTCAAGCAGCTCCTCATCTTGAACACACCATCTTCTGCCTCCCGCCTCATCTGCTCATTGCTACGTTATAAATCTGATAAATTGAAACACCAAAAAGAACACCCCCGCTGGCCCATGGATCATTACAATCTTCAATTTCTACACTCCATGATGCCAATCACATTTCTCAACAACCTTCGCTTTTCTCCTTGGTTCCCCTGAAAACCTCAATCTAAAGGTTTTTATTTTATTTTATTTTCTTTGTATTCTTGTTATTTTTTTAAAATTTATTAACTCGTTATTTTTTTAAAATTCTTTTTATGTTGTTTGGTTATCAAAGGGATATGTTTGAACTGGGAAAGATGGAGAACGGTGATGTGGTTGTGGAGACAAGGTTACGCGTGCCTCGTCTGCGACATTGACGCTTGAGAGCGAGCTTGATAACATCAAGGAAGCTCAGTGGGAGTGAAGCTTAATCCTCCATCTTCTCATGGGATCATAAGATTTCAGGTGCACTCATTATGCATATAGAGTTGACTGTTGATTTTGTTTTTGGACGAAAAATTTTTAATTTGCAATGCAGGAGAGAAATATCTCAGTTCTTGTTTTATTGTTTCTTATATTTATTGGCTTATTATTATTATTATTATTATTAAATTTCTTTTTGTGTTGTTGGGTGTTTAAAAGGGGATTAGATTTGATGGGACAATGGTGGATATGGGGGCGAAGTGGGGAAGATGGAGAATGGTGAGATGGTTGTGGAGACAAGCATTACGCGTACCTTGCCTGCAGCATTGACGCTTTGGTGCGGGCTTGAGAGCATCAAGGGAGCTTTGGAGGAGTTGAAGCTCAATCCTCCATCTTCTCATTGGATTATAAGATTTCAGGTGCACCTCATTATTATTATCAAATAGAGTTGATTGTTAATTTTTCTTTTTCTTTTTTGCAAAATATCTCCTTTTTGCTATGTGGATATGTTATCACTGTTTTAATCTTGTTTCAAACTAGAAAAAATTAGTAGATAACTAGAAATAAATCAAAAATATATAGAAATGGAAAAGAATTGAAAGTTAAGAAATAACAAACTAAATAATTTATAAAAATTAAGGCCAAACAAAATAATAGGAATAAAGAAAAAAAATCTAATAGATAAGAAAACAAAAAAAATACCATTACATAAAAAATAAAAAAAGTTATTAATTTTAAAATAATAAGAAAAAAAATAGAAATTAGGGGGTTAGGGGTTAGGGGTTAGGGGTTAGGGGTTAGGGGTTAGGGGTATCGGGGTTCGGGGGTTCGGGGGTTCGGGGGTTCGGGGGTTCGGGGGTTCGGGGTTCGGGGTTCGGGGTTCGGGGGTTGGTGGTTCGGGGGTTCGGGGGTTCGGGGGTTCGGGGTATCGGGGTATGGGGTTCGGGGTCTAGGGTCTAGGGTCTAGGGTCTAGGGTCTAGGGTTTAGGGTTTAGGGTTTAGGGTTTAGGGTGTAGGGTGTAGGGTGGAGGGTGTAGGGTGTAGGGTGTAGGGTGTAGGGTGTAGGGTGTAGGGTGTAGGGTGTAGGGGGTAGGGTTTAGGGGGTAGGGGGTAGGGTAGGGGGTTTAGGGTTTAGGGTAGGGGGTTTAGGGGGTAGGGGGTAGGGGGTAGGGGGTAGGGGGTTTAGGGTTTTTAGGGGGTTTAGGGGGTTTAGGGTTTAGGGTTTAGGGGGTAGGGGGTAGGGGGTAGGGGGTAGGGGGTTTAGGGTTTTTAGGGGGTTTAGGGGGTTTAGGGTTTAGGGTTTAGGGTTTTTAGGGGGTTTAGGGTTTAGGGTTTAGGGTTTAGGGTTTAGGGTTTAGGGTTTAGGGTTTA